CAAAGGCCTATCATAAAAATCAAAGATTACACGATCGGTTAGAAATGTGATGGCAAATCTTTTTTGATGTACCAAAGGTTATTTAGAAAAGGTTACAAGCAATAATTGGCAAATATTACGGAGTTCTGTAAGTGTTTCTGTTTTTAAGTTGAGGAAAGCAGTTTGAAAGGGATAAAAAAGTTCCGATGGCATATAGTTATGTAAATCGAGTGAAAAGAACACCATGCTAAAAAATAAATGAGGAAATAATACTTTCGTAAAGCGTGTCATTGTAAACTTATTAAATTAGAACAAAAATATGTTTTTAGTTATCAAAAGTCTTATCACAGATCGTATATTTTAAATTATAAACATTGCCATGCAAGGTTACTTACTAAAATTTATTAAGTATTATAAATCATTGTCTGTTTTTTTACACCTCGCATATTTAAATAAATGCATGGAAAATTCCACTGCAAATACAACCAAGTAGGTTTGTTGACAATGTCTATAATTAATTCATAAGAATTTAATAATAGAATTTTTATTTATTAAGTTGACGAGTTAATAATGGAATAAACGTGTAGGGAGAAAGCATGAGCAGACCTAATAAAGGGGAAAAAGATTATTAAATAACCGAGAAATGTTTTGTTGTTCTTGTCAATTAGTTATATATTTTCAAGCTTCAAATTATGACTTTTGTCATTATTATCAGACGCTACAGCCGTAGGTACTTTAGTCCTCTACCTTTTTTCTCTAGCCTATTTCTCCAACCGTTGATTTTCAATAACTTCTTAGCAACGACGACAAATACTTAAAATTGCAAACCTAGTCAGTTTTTTGTAGTTTTTCTCATAATTCCAAAAGTTAGGTACCTTTTCTTCTATTCTGAAGAGACCAGGAAGAGGAACTGGAGAAATCGGTGTTGTTGTAAATTGTTCGCTTAGTTTGACTGAATTTACCTTCTCTAAAAGAAGTTTTTAAGAAAAAACCGTGCAAGTGCTTCTTATCCACCGAATTATGGAAGCATTGCTAAACTTGGTTTGTTCCAAAGTACTTTTTGTAAAATTAAGGCTGGTTCGTTGGTGGAGTGTAAATAGCCCCAGACTGTAACTACCGTTGATTTTTTCTTTCCATTAAGGAACGGACATTATCTCTCTAGTTAAACATGTGACCAGATAACAAGATATTTGTGGTAACAAATTTGAATTTTGAATTTTTTAATTAGCAACTGCATAGTGGTATATAGCGATGAACAATTTACTCTTTTTTTGACTGGTGCAATTGTCCACATATAATAAAATTTCAAGATCCTCGGAATTTGATGCATCTTCTTCTTTTACCTTCTACTTCGTGTGATATACAGTGTGTAAAAGCCAAATAGAATAAATTCATTATTTAGGTTACTATACATATTTATAAAAAATCCCAAAACACGTCAAATTTAAATTATAACTTGACATTCTTTAACGTGAAAATGCAACCCCTACCTTCAACCCCCTTAGAATGACAGGTACAACCCCCCAATTTTTAAAATAGGAAGTATAGGCTTGTGATATATCGTTTGAAAGGTCTTTTCATTCTCCATTCAAAAAGTTTTTAAGATTCAAGTTTCAAGTTTATTAAGATTAATTAAGATAAAATAAATTAAAATCATGTGGTTACCGAAATTCGCTACAATACAATCAAAAACTAAAATGTAATCGACCTAATCGCAAGCGTTATTCGTTCTTTTAAGTCATTTAAATCAGAAGGTCTAGTTTTGTACACATGGCTCTTCACATATCCCCATAAAAAGAAATCTAATAATGTAAGATCAGGTGATCGCACTGGCCATTCAATCGATCCTCGCCTCCTTATACATCGATTGGGAAATATTGTATCGAGGTACTGCCGGACATTAAGTTGGTAATGTGGTGATGCTCCATCCTGCTGAAACCATATCGTATTCGCTGGAACTTGAGGGTTTCCTGGATCAGGATATAAATTTGACAACGTTGGAATGACATTATTTTGAAGTAGTGCCAAATAATTGTTGCCATTCAAGTTACCCTCAATGAAAAAGGGACCAATGGTATTGTTTCCTACAATCCCTGTCCAAACATTAACCTTTTGAGGGTATTGAGTGTGTTCTTCTCTTATCCAGTGAGTATTTTCCGTGGCCCAGTAGCGGCAATTTTGCCGATTAGCATGACCGTTAAGAGAAAAAGTACACTCATCAGAAAACATAATGTCTTTTAATTGGATAATATTGTTATCCAACATGTCCATCATTTGCTCACAAAAAAAAGTTCTCCTATCAAAATCGTCTTCCATGAGCTCCTGAGTAGGTATCATCTTATATTTAATATGTTTACTATCGATGTATGGCTGGCATTGAATGTAGTGGATGCCTGTCTACTCGATGTATGTTGATTTTCCTGAAACTCAAGCAACACATGTAATTTGAGTTCATCACTCAGTGCATTGGCAGCTGCTTTTTTTATCTGCCTTACATGCCCAAACTCGCGAAACTGCTTCTCTATTTTACTTATTGTTCCTTGGGATATAGGCGGTAAATTAGGACATTTCTCATGAAATAGGCGAGTTACTTCCTGTTGTGTTCGGGTGTTATCTCCGTAACCAATCATTTGTAAAACTGTTATTTCATGAATTTCCGTCAATCTAACCATTTTTCAAAATTTAATTGAACGAACTTTTTACTTAAATTAAAATACTGACAACTTAAATAAAACAATATTCTAATGCGTGTTAAAATAACGTTGCCACGGAAATTTTTTAAAGGTTACCATCTAAAAACCACATTGTTATGGTTTTTGTTCACTTTCTCATTATCAAGACCTAAACGGGAAATAAGTTTTAAGTATATTTTAGCGAATTTCGGTAACCACATGATTTTAACTTATCTTTATCTTAATCAATCTTTATAAACTTGAAAGCGACAACATTTTTGAATGGAGAATGAAAAGACCTTTCAAACGATATATCACAAGCCTATACTTCCTATTTTAAAAATTGGGTGTTGTACCTGTCATTCTAAGAGGGTTGAAGGTAGGGGTTGCATTTTCACGTTAAAGAATGTCAAATTATAATTTAAATTTGACGTGTTTCGGGATTTTTTATCATGTTATCATGTTTTCTTTACGATAAAAATAATTTTCAAAAATCAACAAATTTGTTAAGTTTTTTTTTATAAATAATACAAAAAAAAAAATAAAATCCAAAAGTTATTTCGGTACAACTAGCAAAAGCGAACAAATCTCTCCGTCTGTAGTGACTCTGTGTAAATAATGTAAACGAAAATGAAACGTCTATAATGACATAACTCAAAAGTGCCACTATGGGAGCAACTTTTGAACTTTGAAACGATCGAGAGTTAAAGTTGTGCCTGTCTTGCTGAAAGATAGTGCGTAAAATACTTACTAATTTAAGATAATTTTTAAGATATGTCACTATTGCCGATGGTAGGCGATATATACAAATATTTTGATTTTTTTTCCAAAAAATGAACTATGCGCTGGATCAATTAATGCAGGCCGCAGATATCGTTAGATTTGTATGGAAACATATAGATGGAAACCCCAAGGAAAAAGAACAAGAGGTAAAAGGTGGATAGAGGATGTAGAGAAAAATCTCAAAACCGTGAACATCAGGCAGTGGCGAAGAACAGGGCAGACTAGAAGAACGTTGTTAAGCAGGGCAAGTCCCACAAAGGGTTGCAGCGCCATTAGAAGAAGAAGACGATATAATATAGTATCAACAAAATTACTTATCTGGTTCGGACATATACAAAGAGTGGATGAACAACAAATGCCAAAGGAAATACTAAAATGACAACCAGAGCACAAGAAAAACGAGATAGACCGAGAACAAGTAAAAGAGAAGGAATAGATAAAGAGGTGAGAGGAAGAAATATACAAGATGACCTATGGAACGACCGGACAAAGTGGCGATTTTTTGACGACAAAGCTACATATTTTTTTGAGGATATTAATATTTATGTAATTCATTTTATGACTTAATTTTCATTTATTTTAATTATTTAGAAATTACACATTTTGAGAATATTGAAGTAGGTATGAGTATGAATTAATTTTTGTTTGAGAATATGTATTACGATTAGATTGCAATGTGTAATCTAAGAAGCTAAAAGTTTTTTTGGTTGACAAATTGTGGTATTTGCTCCTTAATTTTGAAATTTTAAGTAACAGTTAATTTGCTTTTTGAATAATCGCTTTATTTTAATTTGATCGAGGACAATCTATAATGAAAACAATTATTTCGCCAATAGAGGCATGGACATTTTAATAGTTTTGCTTATGTAATGATTTTATATGATTTATGATTAATTTGAGTCCTTTATAAATCTCTAGTTAAGATTTATTGGCGATTATCTTTTCAGTTTAGCTGTATTCAGTATTTCTTGACTTTCGTAGTCAAACTGTTATATATCCGTTATCTATTTATTATCTATCTATTATTCATATTCATACCCACCCCAGTGACAATCCCGAGACTGAGCAATGAGACCGTCCTATTGTTCTTGTGTACGATCGGCTTATTATCACCTAACATCACTTTTTTGTCCATGTTGAGCTTGTTATATCGTCACAATATGTAAGTGGGATTGCACCAGGACTCAGTACGTATTTCTTATTTATTCTAAATATTGGATCAGATAGCAGAGAAACTACAGAAAAGTAGGAAATATTAAAAGGAATTTAGAATAAAATACTAGTTTAAACAGTTGAAACAAGCTCTTCAGGAAAAAGGTTTAAAACTTCGTAGGACAAAGCGTAATGAAGAAATAGATGGAGATGTATGAAGTAGAATTAAAGTGAGAAGGATAAAGTGGAAGGAAGCGAGTGGTGTGGAATCATAAAAACTACTGTAATCAAAGTTTGCTTCAAGAGAAGTAATTTACAACAATATGTCACCCTGTATATGTATGATTAGAATAATTATAGATTTTTAGTGCAGAAAAATGGTTTTATATTCAATTACTTATTTTTTATTTGCAGGAATATGTTCCCACCAAATATAATAGAAGCCACAATTTTCCAAGTAAGTACTGATTTTTTCAAATACCAATACAATGTTTTTTAACATTTTTTAAAGGATATATTTTCCTTTGCCTACATACAGACGTATATAATTATTTTATTCAAAGTTTAATTAGTTCATGATAGTACGAGTAGGTTAGGGCTTTGATATCAATCATAAAGTATTTTAAATTTGTTGTCCTTCTTCGGCATAATTTTAGAACTGTTAGTCTGAAGTTGAAAATCCGCACCTTTCTTTTTTATAGCTTCTACGGTTTCAAAACCTTTCTTACTTACTTCACCTAAAACCTTTAGTAGCCCAGTTAAAGTAAACAATCAATATTTACCATTCCAGTGTTTTGGTTTTCAGTGAAGTAAGACCTTCCAATGAATGAATTGGCACTTCATCTTAGGATCAAAATTATAAAACCACTATTCACACATGGTATTATCTTTCCAATCAGTTTGGGTCATTATAAATAACGTTAAAGTGTTAAAACTAATGTTTTTCTGGGCTTCGTATTCAAAAGTAAAATATTTTGACATTTACGTTTTGTATGTTAAATTTTTATGTAAATGTGACATATATGAACGCGTATCATAGAAATTTACATATCAGAGAACATCATTTTAAATAAACATTATGACTAAAGAAAATTAAACGTTCCAAGCTTCACTACTTTCAACCTTGATGCTGATAGAATGCGAGTTCATGTACTGTTGAAGGTGCACTTAGTGTAATTGCAAATAAATTATATAATAAATTAATAGTAAAAACATAAAACCAGATTTTCAATGTTAATGATTTAATATTGAAGTATCTGCAAATAAATCATAATGACAAATTGGAAGTTTGAAAAGAAAACGGATGAGACAAGTACAACATCGAAAGTTGTGCATTGAGATATTTGTCATCTTAATCAGTGCGTAGAAGATAGTGGATAGAGCTTTCTTCGGTATGACTTTCGCTATCTGCCTAGCTAGACAGAAGGAGCGGTGTTAAGGGTCCTGAAAGTACCCAAAATATAAGGGACATTTAACCACCACTACGATGACTAACTCTAGTCATTTGGAGTAAACTTCAGTACTCGTAAAGAATCCAAGGTGTCGTCGACATCATGATCTCTATCTATACCCAACCCTAAGCTATCTTCTTGATATAAGTGTCTACCTTGCCAAAACCAAGCGAAGATGATCACATTCTGAAAGCGTTACATCCTGCGAGGCCATGATTCTCTTTCCTTGTCATCGACAACCGTCAGCAACAGCGAATAAGAATAGCAACATAGTTTGACAGGCTGCTCAATATAGAGTTGTTTAACTTTAGGGTTGAAACCTAAAATTAATAAATCAGTCGATATTTATGCAATAAGATCCATAAAAACTAAAGAATTTTCTAAATTTTTTGAGATGTGGGCATATAGAAGAATTCTGAATAATACGTTAATAATGTTAAAGCGTTAGAAAAAAGAAGTTAGAAGAAAAACGTAGAAATAAACAGAAACTGAAAGGACAATAAAAGAGAGAAAACTGCGATATCTCAGATGATTAATACGCGAGGAAAAATACGGTATCTTACGACTAAAATTAAAGCCAAAATAAATGGCAGAAGTGTCGGATAAAGGTTAATTTTTGTCAAAAATTGTCATTTATATGATTTTATACGGTTATTCAAAGTTATATAATTGGTTTATGTTTTGATCTCAATGGTACACATATTGAATGATGGTCCTTCAAGTCAGATGAATGTTTTATTTCCTTAAGATACGAAAATTTCCCATTTTTCTTGCCAGTTCTTAAAGTATTCTTTTAAACGTGAATCATTTAGAGGCATAATTACATTTCCTGGCTTTGTTATCACAAAGAACTAAACGTTTATTAAGTAATTATAAATTTAGTAATTGGAATTTATTATTTACAGACTCGCACCAAATTACATCCAACCAACGTAAGCGGCACAGGTAAGTAATAGTTGTTGTGCCTTCTACCACAAAACAGCATCTAAAAAATGGTCTACACCACAACACAACATACACTAATTATATGCTAAGGATAAATAATAGGAATTAAAGCATACGTATGTGGAATACATCGTGGAATACATTAAAAAAAACAACTATCGAAAGAGACACCACTCGAGAAAATCTTGAAACGGTAGAAGATAATCAATAAAAACACGTCTTAATTGAAGAAAATAAGTTACCAATATAGTATTTAGGCTAAACAACACGAAATTACTTTTTAGGAATTGTCATGACAACATTTGTAAGATGACCATAAACTTGAAGAGGATGTTTAATAATGAAATGAAGAATTTGGATGGAAAAAATGCTTAAAGAAAGAGAAAATCAGATTATCTAAAAATAAATGCAACACAGCAGCTATAGGCATACATCTGTGGTATCACAAATATTTAAAATGTTACCTTAGCACATGAGAAATACAATAAAAGGAGACAAATGAATGATATATAGAACCCAAGAAAAAATAAGAAATTTTAAAACATCCACCTTCCAGTCCACACTTGAAGATGTTTAACTACTTCTGTTGGACAAATGTTGTCCTTTTTATACGATATTATTCAAATTTTACTTAAAAACTATCAAATTTTATTTTTAATATTTTTTAGATCTTTATAAGTACAAAATCGATAATGAAATTATCCAAAGTACTAATATCCTCGGTCTAGTGGTAGTAGCTGCCGCTTTAGGTATAGCTATAGCTCAACTAGGAAAGGAAGCCAAAGTTGTAGCTGACTTCTTCCACCAGATGATGGCTGTCAGTATGAAAATTACTTCATGGGTGATATTTCTCTCTCCAGTTGGTATCGTGTTTCTGGTATCGTCCAAAATACTGGAAATGGAGGATATTGGTGAAACTTTAGGATCATTGGGATGGTATTTTGCTACAGTTATGGTTGGACTGACGGTGCAAGGATTCATTGTTTTGCCATTGTTGTACGTAATCTTAACCAGGAGGAATCCTATTACGTTTATTAATCATATGTCAGAAGCTATTGTCACGGCGTTTGGAACTGCTTCGAGGTAAGTTGATTTTTTACTGTCTAATAATAATAATAAACAAATAACTATTCCAACCTACTATAACTTACGGATATTTAATTTTTTCTAAATAATGTAATAATTTCTTTTTAGAAAACATTGTCCTAAAATATTTTGCTTGTACTAGTAGAATGGTCAAATTTCACAACCAACTTCAATTTTTAGTTCTGCCACACTTCCCATCACAATTCGATGCTTGGAAGACAAGAACGGTGTGGACTCTAGAGTAGCCAGATTCGCGCTTCCTATAGGAGCAACCATCAATATGGACGGAACTGCCCTTTATGAAGCAGTAGCAGCCATCTTTATAGCTCAAGTAAGAAACGTTCCTTTGGATTTTGGTACTTTGGTGGCCATCAGTGTAACTGCAACCGCAGCTAGTATTGGTGCTGCCGGTATACCCCAGGCAGGTCTAGTTACTATGGTTATGGTGTTGGATACCGTTGGGTTACCTGCCGAAGACGTTAGTTTGATATTAGCTGTAGACTGGTTATTGTAAGTATTATTAATTTATTTAAGTTTTCACTGTTATATTATTATTACATATTATTATGTACCCTTATATACTATTTCAAAACCTTGGCTAAATGACTAGATATTCAGGTAGTTACTTGAGGTTAGACTCCATTAATTTGTTAACGAAGAAATAAAAAGAAGTAAATGCACTGACCAAGTTTCTTTAAATCATACATTTCTTATTCTTCATCGTTTTTAATTGTATTACATTAGTAGCATAATTATGGCTTGTTAAAATTGGCATTAAAATGTTATACTATTATAATGGTATCATAAAGGCATGAAAGAACTGGCTGCAAACGACCGGTTTACAACAGGCGGCTTCCGTGGAAAAAATGGACATTTATACCAAAGGGGAGATTACACTGAAGAGAAATATCAACGGAAAAGGGGTATAGGAAACATGTAATGAAGAAGATACCTTGTATTTAAGTTTTTATGATATAATCTTCTATTCTACTCTGAGTAAATTCGTCAGAGACAACGACAAATGAAACAAACGATAATTACGTAAAGAAGAGAAGACTTATGTTTTACATCGATTAAAATCTAGTACAAGAAGAAAAAAGTACGTCCATAAATGACTTAAACTGAAAATGTAGAAACCAAAACAAAATTTAAAAAAATTCTATTATATAACCCCCTATGTCCATTATCGCCCTACCTATAAATAGAAAATATAGGGCCAAGGCCTTAGAAGAGATTATACAACACTTTTAATAATTAATATATTTCGAAACTGACATAAAAGTAGCAAAAATGATAATAATGATTAAGATTAATTACTTAACGTATGGGTCAACAAATACCATTAAAAGAATATTTCGTAATACCAGGCAGTGTATCAACCGTTTTAAAATATCAATTAGGGAGATAGATTGTAATATTGGTAATTATTCAACAGCGCCATCTGTTTTACCGTGTACAAAGGAGTACAACAGTTACATAGGGAAGATACTATACGAGGTCTGTCGCAAAACTATTTGATGTGAGCTCATAACTCCACGCCAAAACGTTCAAAAGACCCCTGTGTGGTACAAGCCACTCTTTACGAACTTGTCGTATACCGCAGTTACCAGAGAGAACTATCTAATTTGCAATAGTGTGACTTTGATTCTTTTTTTTGCGTTTATCGCATTTTGTAATACTTTATAAGTATTACTTGAAACTGAATAAAAGTTGCGAGAAAACTATTCAAATGTAATAAAGATCCTTTGAGGATCAATTTATAAACAAAACACTCGCGTTCTAGTCGACCTGCCAGCGCAACAACGAATAATGTTGAACATGTAAGCTTACGATCGATAAAAGTCGTCGTTTGACAGTGACAGAACTAAAAAGGGATTTTAGAATTCGGAAAAAACTTGTATTTCGAGAGTTCTAAAAAATTTTTAACTGATTTAGGAATCATTACATGTGTGTCAAATTCATCCAAAAATTTAGAATGAATTTGGCCGCCAGCAAAGCAGAAAACAACTTGGAAGTGGGCTAAGAGACAAACATATGATTAAAAAGATTGTTATCGGTAACAAATCGTGGGTTTATGGTTATTCGAAAACAACACAACAATATTCACAATAAAGCTTCCATCTAGCCACATGTACTTTTTAAATCCAAACTGGTAAATGATTGCAATAATCTCCTTCACAAACTGGCACAAGATAAAAGCGTGTTTTTGGTGTGGTTGACCTTCCCTGATTTTCCCAGATTCTTGTTTGTTCCTTTAGCATGCAGAGCTTGCGCTTGAATACTCTATATGAATCTTCTCTCTTTTTATAGGGATCGTTTCCGGACAGCAATCAACGTCATGGGTGACTCATTCGGTGCCGGCATTGTTTACCACAGGAGTCAGAAGGAACTGGGAATGTTGGTATCAACAGAAGGTAGCGCAGAGGATCCACCAGACTATATCGACGGAGAAGCAACCACTGGAAAGAGCAAATTGACGGAACACTTCCAAGAAAGCATTCACTGAATATTCAAACGATAAATTAAATTCTCCCGAATAAAATTGTTGGCGACAAAAGAGTAGTACTAAAGAACGAAAATAAAAATGAAACTGTAAAAACGATATATCAAAAATTGTAGTAGATTTACAGGTTTAAAATTTCAATAAAATGTACACCAGTGAATAAGTCTAAAAAGACTGGACTAGGATTATTAAATCATATTAGTACCAAATGAGAAATTTGGGCATAATTTAGTTGTGATCTTATTTGATTCATTTATGTACACTTTTCTACGCGCGAAAGTTTATACTTAAGTTCTAATGTATTTTCGTTATTAGCTTTATTATAACTGGTTAGTCATTGTACTAGTTTACATTTTGTCTTCTGCTTTTCGCTCTGTTTGACGAAATACAGTCTCGTATTAGTTATTGAATCATTTATAACAAGAAAATTGATGCATATGCATCGTTTTATGTGATCGTAATATCCTTGTAAATAATAATCTTTAATAAGCAAAACTAGAGAGATGTTGGCATTAAAACAAAACCAGAAAATGTTAAAAATACTTCAAATAAACGAAAAAATTGATTGCTTTAGCCCGAGAGGAAGATCAACACATTTGACAAACCAGCTGGTTTTTCCAGACAAGGCATCAATGAAATGATGAAAACAACAAGAGTTTTAACTAGATCTGTGTCAGAATACTATTGTTACCAATGGAATATTGTGGATGGTAAACGCATGTACGCTGCTATTGCACTTTTTTACCGTGAATATTATTTTACTAATATGTCAACAAATACAGAACAAAACGTACTGGTATAAGAAAACGACGCAAACTTCAATAAACAAGCCAGGTACCATGTATTCTGAGTCTGTCCAAAACAGTCCACTGCTCTAATAACTGAATACTATTAGAATTTAACATTTCCAATAGACTCATTTTAACTATCAATGAAAATATATTGAGATAATCTGAATATATTGTAGAAGAGAAGGTGTTGACAGAAAGTAAACTAAAGACATTGTAGCTAGCAAAATTCTAGAGGAAGATCTCTATCAGAATTGTCAGACCAAATAATGAACACGACTGGTTACTTATTCTCGGAAACAAAATAGCATGCACAAGGAAGATATTAATGCTTAAATGAATGGCCTAAGATCATTATACCTTGGGAAGGATAAATAACATAAGAGGAGCAGAAAAACAGAGAGTACCCAGACGTGATCAGATACTGTGGACTCAGTTAGAGAACGAAATATAAACTCTAAATAACGAGAAAAAGTTGTATTGACTATGAATTTACACGACCAGGGTGATGTGTAGTGCAAAAAACTTGAATCGTTTCAAAAGCAAGTGAAGAAGTTCATGTACAATGAATGTAGCTTACAAGAAGCAATTACAAACTGGCCTTGGTTTATAGAGAAAGCTAGTGTAAAGATTCTACGACGTAGAAAAAAGACACTTCAGGAAGATCCCGTTTTCGCTAGATAGACGGCTTGAACAAAATCTGAGGAAGCTGTGAGTCAAAAGAGCGAGAAAATAGTCTGAGGATCTATCCTCTTAAAAGGCAGACAATAATTGATTAGGCCAATTGTATGCCTTTTGAGCCTCATGAGTTGCATCAACGCAGAGAAATACAGGTAGTAATAGGTGCTCTAGGCCTATAAGGTACTGTAAATAAACAAAAATACGAGTTAGAAATACAACAATTTACATTTGAGAAGCAAATCAACAAGATCAAAAGGAGTAACGTAGAATGGCAAGAAAAAATTAAGAAAAGTATGCGGAATCGGTCATGAGCACGTTTTGTTGCCTACAAGAAGTAACAACAAGCTGGCCATAATTTATGTAGAAGGCCACTGAAAAAATTCTAGAGAGATATATAAAGACAGCGAGCAAGATCCTGTCTTCGCTAAATAGACGTCTTGAACAAAATCTGAGGAAGATGTCAATCAAAAGATAGAGAAGAGTAGCTCAAAGTTGATCCACTTAAAAGGCAGATGAAGCTACCATAAGCTGCTACCAAGGCGAGTGAAAAAAATTAAGGGAGATAGAAAAAAGACATCGAGGAAGATCCCTTCTTTGGTGGATCGACGTCTTAAACACCACCTGAGGCAGCCAGCTGGAAATCATAAAATAGAATGGCTAAGGAAGTTGGTCAGACTGGAAGTTATCATAAGCTGTAGCGACGCAGAGAAATAGTACCTAGAATAATAAGTGCACTAGACGACAAGACGTGCACTGAAAATAAATAAAAATCAGTATGAAATAACAAAATAAGAAATTTGAGAAGCAAAACAAAAAGATTGTGAGGAGACGAGAAAACTATATCCAAAACAATTAATTAATGTGAAGATAAGCCTTCTTAGGAACTGTAGAAAATGTCCACCGGAGAATCTTTTATAGCAGGAGTACATGGATTCTTCATCAAAAGTAAGCGCACTTTTTTATGCTTAATCGTTTTAACAAGAAACAAGGAAAATATTGCTAAACATCAGAGATGGAACAGAGGACTAGAATCAAGAATAATAAATGAAAATAGATTAGTACAATCAAGAAGCAGATAAGAAAAATATTGAAGACAAAGTAGATAGTCTATAAGAACATATAAGTATATTCACTACTGTAAAAACTACAACAAACATTAATTATGCTGCAGTTTCATCGCATAAGTTTTGAAATTTATCGCCTCTGCTACATCGCCGTTAGGACAGCTTCAGACTCTACTTTAATAAAAAAAGAGTGCTGTATTATTTGGAACAAAACTTTGTAAATTGTAGACACGCAATTTAAAATATTACTCTAGATATTTATTCTTGTAGCTCTTTTGTTCGCCAACTTTTCATTCAGCGGTAATATAAAACCATTTTAACATATTTTCATGTCGCAATCACAAACGATCAAATCGAAATACTTTTGTAATCAAACGAAGGTGTTAATGTAAATATATATCTTGAAGATAATATCTTCTATTAACCACGAACTATTTAAGGTGCTAAATAAGTTGCAATTATTCCGTATTATTTAAGGTAAAATTAAATCGAATTTTAAAATACAAAGTTGTTAACAATGTTGTAACGAAATAAAAATTTAATATGCAGTTAAGATGTGTTTGTTATTTGCAAAACTCAAAATTATACTAAAGTTTGCGTTTAAGTATATAACAACAACGATATTAAGTAAACTCGTGTATTAAATATGAACCAGAAGAACCAAAGTCGCTGACATCATCAAAAAAATAGCCAGACTAAAATGAAGATGGGCAGGACACATAGTTAGAATGACAGATAAGAATATTGGAATGGAGACCAAGGGAAGATCCACCTACACGATTAAAAACAGGCTGAATAAAACTGGAAGAGAGCGGCGCAAGATCTTCTTCTTCAAGTGCCATCTCCTCTAAGAAGGTTGGCAACCATCATGGCAATTCGCACTTGTGGACGCCGCTGCTCTAAAGAGGTCAGCAGAAGTGCAGTTAAACCAAACTCTTAAATTATTCAACCAGGAGATGAGTCTTCTTCCGCGACTCCTTCTACCCTGTATTCTTTCTTGCATTATTAATTGCAACAATTTATAACGCTCGCCCCTCATAACATGTCCCTGATATTGCAGTTTTCTGACTTTAACTGGATTTAAGATCTCTTTATCTTTACCCATTCTTTTCAACACCTCGAATTTGTGACTCTATCTACCCAACTTATTCTTAATATCCTTCTGTAAGCTTATAACTCGAAGGCTTCCAATTTGTCCGAAACGTCTTTCTTTGAAGTCCAAGCCTTCAACCCATAAAATAATACGGAGAACACGTAGCATATCAGAAGTCTTATTTTTAAAGAAATTGAAATGTCCCTGCTGCAGAGTACTTTTTTCAGTTTGTTGAAAGAATTTCTTGCCTGTCCTATTCTTGCCTTAATCTCTTCTGTGTACTCATTATTTTCATTAATTATTGTACCCAGATATTTATATTTTTCAACTTTTTTAATTTGTTCTCCATGTATTGTTATGTTTTCTTGGCGCTGTTGGGCTTTTGTAATTACCATAAATTGTGTCTTTTTTGTATTTAGGGATAGACCATTTTCTTCACTGACTTCTACCACTCTGTCAACCATTTGTTGTAAATCCTCAAGACATTCCGCTAATAAAATAGTGTCGTCGGCAAACTGTATATTATTGATTGGTCGGCCATTTACTTTTATTCTCATAGTTAGTTCTTCTAGTGCTTCCTGGATTATTTCCTCTGAATACAAATTAAACAAAGTAGGAGACAGGACACAGCCCTGCCTGACGCCCCTCTCAATCTGTATTTCATTTGAAAAGACGTTGTTTTCTTTTACCACAGCGATCTGATTATAATAGATAGCGCTAATGATCCTGATGTCTCTCATACCTAAGTTTTTCTTTTCAAGTAATTCGATAAGACGGTTATGTCTGAACTTATCGAAGGCTTTGTTGTAATCCAAAAAACACATATATACTGGCTGATTAACATCCACGCACCTTTGCACAAGTACATTCACAGCGAAAAGGGCTTCCCTTGTTCCCAGTGCATTTCTAAATCCAAATTGTGTGTCACTTATGTCCTGCTCAAGTTTGTTGTGTATTCTCCGGTGTATAATTTTTCCGGTATCCGGTGGTCTTGGCATTCTTTTGCATATGTTTTTTTTGGTAGTGTTATGAATGTTGACATCAGTAAATCTCTGCGAATTATTCCTGTACTGTATATTGTATTGAACAATTCGACCAATATTCCAATTTGCTGTTCTTCTATTAACCGTATTATGTCTACAGGTATTTCGTCAGGACCTGTTGCCTTGTTATTCTTTGTTCGCGTAAGATGGATTCAGTTAAAAACCAACGTTCGGTAGTGAAATTTCGAGGCTGGATGATGATGAAACTCTTAATTTTACTCCTGTGAAATTAAAGTGTCAGTTAAAAGTGCATTTAAAGACTGACGGTTTAATGTACATGACGCTCTTGTACAGAAACATCCAAACACCAATAGTATTGTTCGGACCACATTTAAGCCTTTATGCATGATAGTAGTTAAAGAAACAACCAATTATAGACTTCAGAAACAATGAAAGCAAAAATTTACTTTATTTTCAAATAAGATACCTACTGGGTTATGTAGGGAATACAAAATTAGTTGTTTAATTAATTAAAACCGTTGCAAACAAAATGTATATGGTTTTAAATGTATGAACCACCATAAGTCATTAATGATTACCGCAAAGGAGTGATAACTTATCTTTGGTTGTAAATGATGGTGTCATGAATCAAGTAATGGTCAATAACGACGTACTAATAATTATAAATTACAATATCCACTATCTGGTCCTGAACACCATTGGATTAATATGGCTCCAAATAAATGGCCCAAAAAAATAACAAGCCTCCAACAAGGGAAACGTTTTATGATGAATAAGCAATAGATCAAGTCAGAATGAAAATGATAATATTGCGGGATTTTAATTGGAGAACTGATGATAAACTTCTGCACGAATAACGAACTTAGAATAAACAACAGATTTTTTGACCACAAAAACCAACACAAATAATTTAATAACACCCGTGGACAACGTACAACCAACACAGATATATATCCAACAAAAATAATCGACGTAAGATGCCTCAACCAGCAGATGTAGGTAGCGCCGATAGCCTAGTATTATTTAAAATAAGAATCATCCTGAAATTCTTCACACCCAAGACAACACAAACAAAAATCACAGTCGAAGGACTAAATACAAAATCCATAGAATACTGTAACATTTTTTTTATTATTAATATATCAAATTATTTTTAATTCCTTTAGGAATCCCCGTGTTTACGATAGGAAAATAATATTGTAGATACCAAGCTAAAATGGAATTCCCTAATTAAGAAAGGTTTTTAATCCTTCCGTCATAATATTCATTATGAAAAGAGTATAATGCTTTTTGGTATTCGGTTTCTTTTCATAAATTGGTAATTTTCGTCGAAGGCCCATATCTTTTGACAATAACTTAATCCCAAGTATTGTCTGTTTCTTATGTCCAATTGTTAATACCGATTATTTTACCTCAAACTTTCCAATAGTCGTTAAGGCCTTACCTTCTGAGAAACACATACAACTGTCCTATCATTCTTGAGTGGGGGAATATTTTCTTCTTCCTTTTTCAGGGACAGTTGGTGAAATTTTTAGTGGAACCAATTTACTTGTTGGTGGGTAGTTGTTGAGTGAGGTAATATCTCGTGAGACTTTTTGGTGGGCCGTTGTTGAGTTAAGGCCAATATCTCGTGTTACGCTTTGCTCACTTTATTTCTTATCGTATCGTCTTTGTGAATTATTTTCTAAGTGTGTATACACTTTATATTTGAGCTTTCTTTCCTTAGAATATATTAAATTATATATAGTTTTACACTACCTTTAATGGTTATTAAATTCAGTGTTTAGTACCAGAAAAGTATTAAAATCAGTGAATAAAGCTGCCTTCGTCAAGATCTACTGTAAGTAATCTTTATCTACAATTATCTGGGCGAGTAATATGGTATGGTATCATATCACCTGCCATTATCTGGACGCATCATCTATATCTTCACCTGTAGATTGCCGATTTTTGAATGTAATTGAACCATTCAAAAAATGTCTATAAATATTACCTATGAACATACAAGTCTCAGTTTTTTATTAAATAATAGTGCGAGATAGTTAATTGACTTAACCAAGTGCGGTTTGGTTTATGTTTTCATTCCTGTAACCTTTTTGTTTTTTTTTTTGTAAATTTAGAGTTAGGTAATTTTTGCTATCTTTTGTATTTCCTATAATTTTTGTTCATTATCTTTCCTATGATATCTCGAGATACGCCAAACTATATTTGTATATGATTGCCTTATATCTTGGTAAAGGTATTTTTTTATTACATTATTGCTTAATTTTATACATATATAACACCATTTCATAGTTGTGTATTTTTATTACCTGGGTTGCATTTAGCAACATCATAATTTTGTGTTTAATATATTGTTATTGTTTTATGCATGTATTTTATTTGTCGGCTCCTAACAAGTTCCCTGATAAAATAATAGCTCTGAACAATTACTATCTTTAAATATTACTATGCTTTTGAACTGTAGAAAAATCAGGCTGATTAAATTTCGTAGGTAAGTAAGTGTAATACTTAATATATTTATTATTTGTTTATATATTGCGTTGACCAGATTAATTTGATAATTTACTGTTGGTATATTTCCTTGAGTTTGATCTCTGAACCTAAATATCTTTTCTTATCTCTTTTCTTTTCTAAGGTTTTCTTAATTTTCTCCTTAACCCCAAAAAATTGAGTGGCGCCCTGTTTCTATCTTCTCTTATCTTTGGTAATTTTACCCATCTATCTTTTTGTTTATTTCTGTATCTTTTCTAATATCTCTTATCCTATCTTTACCTATTTCTTCCGTTGGATCCATTCCCGGTTCCAAAAGCTAGTTTCGAACCCACGACTCGCTCTCCACCAACCATCTGGCTGCCGTCCGCAGTGTCTCCATTGGTTATCTTTCTAGCACCACCCAAAAAAGATTTCCGAGGTTACAATACTTATACAGAAAAAGAATATCAAATAAGATCGCTGGGAATGAAATAATAGAAAAGGATAACATCGAGGAAAGCTGGGAAAACTCAAAAATAGCATAATTAACGCAGCAACAGAATCACTTGGACAGAGGGAAAGTAACGAACACTAACATACCAAAAAACTCATGGTTCAGAGATAAAGTGAAGATAACTTGTGAAGAAAATAAGAAAACCTTTTTACAATACAACAAACACAACAGGCATAAAATCACTATAAATTAATTAGAAATGAAACGAATAGTTTAGTTAGACAAATAAAAAGGGAACACTGGTAGAGCTTCTCAAAACAGATGGAACACAACTTCTACGGAACACAAAAAAAATATGGAGAACGATCAGAGGAAAAAGAAAAGGGATAAACGAACTAATAAAAACCGAAACACAATCGGGGGTATCATGGGCAGACTAGTTTCAATCCCTATTTGCTAAAGATGACGATAATGAACCACAAACAACAGGGATGACAAACAAAGAAGTACATATTGAGGAGGAAGAG